CTAGGTATACAATCATATCATCAGCAAACAGCAACAGTTTGACTTCCTCTTTACCGATCTGGATGCCTTTTATTGCTTTCTCTTGTGTGATTGCTCTGGCTAGGCCTTCCAGTACTATGTTGAATAGAAGTGTTGAGAGTGGGCATCCTTGTCTTGTTCCGGTTCTCAGGGGGAATGCTTTCAACTTTTCCCCATTCAGTATTATGTTGGCTGTGGGTTATTACATTGAGGTATGATCCGTGTACACCGATTTTGCTGAGGGTTTTAATCATAAAAGGATGCTGCATTCTGCAAATGCTTTTTCTGTGTCTACTGAGATGATCATGTGATTTTTTTGTTTTTAATTCTGTTTATGTGGTATATCACATTTATTGACTTGTGTATGTTAATCCATCCCTGCATCCCTGGTAAGAAACCCATGTGATCATGGTGGATTATCTTTTCTTTGAGATAGAGTCTTGCTCTGTCACCCAAGCTGGAGTGCAGTGGCGTCATCTTGGCTTATCGCAACCTCCGCCTCCCAGGTTCAAGTGATTATCCTGCCTCAGTCTCCTGAGTAGCTGGGACTATAGGCACGCGTCACCACACCCAGCCAATTTTTGTATTTTTAGTAGAGACGGGGTTTCACCTTGTTGACCAGGCTGGTCTTGAACTCCTGACCTGGTGATCAGCCTGCTTTGGCCTCCCAAAGTGCTGGGATCACAGGCGTGAGCCACCGTGCCCAGCTGGATTATCTTTTTGATATGCCATTGGGAACTACAAAACATTGCTGAATGAAATCATGGACACAAACAAATGGAAAGACATCCCATGCTCATGAATGGGTAGAATGAATATTGTGAAAATGACCATACTGCCAAAAGCAATCTAAAAAATTCAATGTAATTTCCATCAAAATACCACCATCCTTCTTCACAGAACTTGAAAAAATAATCCTAAAAGTCATATGGGACCAAACAAGAACCCACATAGCCAAAACAAAACCAAGCGAAAACAAATCTTGAGGCATCACATTACTTATTTCAAACTATACTAGAAGGCCATAGTCACCAAAATAGCATGGTAGTGGTACAAAAATAGGCACATACACCAATGGAACAGAATAGGGAACCCAGAAATAAACTCAAATACCTATAGCCAACTGATTTTCAACAAAGCCAACTAAAACACAAGGTGAAGAAAGTAAACTTTATTCAACAAATGGTGCTGGGATAATTGGCAAGCCACATGCAGGAGAATGAAACTGGATCCTCAACTCTCACCTTACACAAAATCAACTCAAGATGGATCAAGGACATACATCTATGACCTGAAATCATAAAAATTCTAGAAGATAACATTGGAAAAACCTGTCTAGACATTGGCTTAGGCAAAGACTTCATGACCAAGAACACAAAAGCAATTGCAACAAAAACAAACAGGTGAGACTTAACTAAAGACCTTCTGCACAGGGAAAGGAGTAAACGGGCAACCCACAGAGTTGGAGGAAATCTTCACAGTCTACATATCTAACAAACAGCTATTATCCAGAATCTATGAGGAACTCAAACAAATTACAACTGCAAAAACATGGAACCAGCCCAAATGCCCATCAATCAAGGAGTGGATAAAGAAACTGTGACATACATACACATATATTTTTGAGGAATACCACTCAGCCATGATAGGGAATAAATTAATGGCATTCCCAGCAACCTGGATGAAAGTAAAGACTATTATTCCAAGTGAAGTAACTCAGCATGGAAAACCAAACATCGTATGTTCTCATCCATATGTGGGAGCTAAGCTATGAGGATGCAAAGCCGTAAGAATGATACGATGGACTTTGAGGACTCGGGGAAAGGCTGGGAGGAGGGTGAGGTATAAAAGACTACAAATTGGGTTCAGTGGATACTCCTCAGATGATGGGTGCACCAAAATCTCACAAATCATCACTAAAGAAATTAGTCATGTAACCAAATACCACCTGTTCCCCCAAAACCCTATGGAATAAATAAATAAATAAAGTACAGCATTTTTCTCAGCAAACATAAATAAAATAAAACAAAGCTAAAGTTCACATTTTTCACTCTCCTTTTGGGCAGGACAAATTTTAGATATGTTTTTAAAGAATTAATAACTTTTTTCCTTTTTCTGAGACAGGGTCTCCCTTTGCTGCCCAGGCTGGAGTGCAGCGGTATAATTACAGTTAACTGCAGCCTTAAACTCCTGAGCTCAAGCGATCCTCTGCCTCAGCCTCCTGAGTAGGCAAAACGAAAGGCACATGCCACCAGGCCTGGCTAATTTGTTATTTAACCTTTGTGTAGACGTGAGGTCTTGTTATGTTGACCAGGCTAAAAATGAACAAATCTTAATTAACTTAAATATTTCTAACACTTTGGGCCTTCACAAAAACAGCTCCATCTCTGTTGTGAAGTAAAGGGAAGTATATGGCAGTGGATAAAGTTTGAATGAAAATATTAAACGAGGCCTTAGGAGAAAAATGTAATATGCTTATTATACATACATTAATTTTAAAACTTCTCTGGATTAATATCATTAATTATACTCAAATTAGACTTTGATTTAAGCATAGGTCCTAACTTTGGATTAAATATAATAGATTGACCACAAATTTATTTCCCCTCCCTCCGCAAGTCTCATTAATCATAAAATAAAGGTTAACACATGACCAGGAGAGAAGGTTGACAGAGATAATTTTTAATAAATGCTGAGACATAAAAAGTAGATAAAAGAGTGGTAAATAACACGGAAGTGCAACTTTGGTGCTTACAGAAAGTGACTGGAACAGAAGTGAGCCAGTTTGTCTTGCAAAACTAAAGGCAGGCTGTGAACTTACAGGCAAATGGCACTTTGGAAAGTAGGGTAAGATGTAAAACAAAAGCCAGCAAGGTCAGTTGAAAATCTCTAACCAGAGCCCTGGGTCCACCTGTCTTTCCATCTGACAAGAAACTTAGATGTGTGTTCTCTGGATATATCAAACCTGAGAATTTCTGGCTCAGAGATACCATGACTTAAACCTGAGATATAGAGAAAACTGTATACCAAAAATGGAACTCCAACTTTCTTCGCTAACTCTGCTTTTAGAAAGCAAGTGGCCATGTTTTTACTTCCCAGGCAGAAAATTGGGAGATCCTTCTCAGAAGAAACTGAAATGTCTCGAATAAAGATCCCCAGATAATACACTGAGGTCCCCCAAATGAAAAGCTAGTTTGGCTTCCAACACCTCACACTGAGGGCTATCAGTTAACAGAAGTCCTGCTTCCAAATAAAGCAGGCCAGGGAACACCACACATTGGAGGGAAGCCTCCAACAACAGAAATCAAAGCAACAGAAAAAAGGAATTCACGGGAGCAGTCAAAACCAGGAGCAAAACTAAAAAAAAAAAATCTTAAAACACTCTCAAAAATATAAAATTCAATAGAAAGAGTAGAGGATAAAGTCACAGAATATCCCAGAACTAGAATAAAAGGACAAACTGAAAAAAATAGAAGGGGAAAAATTAAAAACCAATTCAAGTGTACTGGTCTAAGCAGCCTAGCGTCTGAATAACAAGACTATCAGTAAAAAAGTAACAGAGAAAATTTAAAAAAAAAAATTCTCAAGAAGAGATAGTCTCAGGTTTAGTAGCCTCAATAAAACGAAAAGATCTCCACCAAGCTGTTATTATAAAATTTCAGAACCTCAGAGAGAAAGAAGATCCTAAAAAGCTTCAACAGATACCTAAAACCTGGTTGTAAATAGTGTATCACACACTGGCAATAAATTCAAGAACAACAGTGTAATGAGAAGCACAACTGCAAAATGTCTTCAGAACCATAAAATCTAGATTCAGCATAGAGGTGTCCCCTCTATCAAAGAGGAGGGATTTTAAGACTGGCCAGCTCTCTAAATATTTCCACCCAGGAAAATGTGTTCAGGTACAACTAGAGAGGATAACAGGACAGAAGGAAACACAGAATCAGGGACTCAGGCGATCCCACACAAGACACCAGGTATGTGAGATCCCAAAAGACTTTAAGGAGATAGCACAGAAAAGCAGACATCGAGCATATCTAGGGAAAGCCACTCCATATTGAACTAGGATGACAAAAGGCCAAAGAAAGTTGC